TACTACTAAGGTGAGAATCTATCTATCTATCTATCTATCTATCTATCTATCTATCTATCTATCTATCTATCTATCTATCTATCTAATCTTTTGCATGTGTTGGAAGATACCTTGTAAGGAATGTTGCATCTTTCTCCTACCCTGCAGGTTTTGTTCAGCTCATGTTGCTTGATGTGCCTCTGTATGGCTAAGGAAACCTCCTGCAACCTTCTTGCCAGCTGCACTAACAACTTCAGACTCTGTAAAATGCTAAAATAGCAAGGGAAAAAATGTCTAAAAAAGTAAGGAGGGGAAAAAAATCTCTAAGGAAACTTGTTGTATAGTGTGTAAGAAATCTTTACATACTGTAACTCTTTTTACTTCTTAATAAGTTTGGATGAGGTCTGTAGTTAGCTCCACTGGGTTATTCCACCCCTGCATTTGTGTAAGAGGAAGAAGAAAGATTTTAGCAAAATTAAGAAAGTTGTACTGTGGGTGAACCCCAGTACACTCAATGTAAGAGCAATCTCCTGTTCTGAGGTACGATACTGAGTACAAAATTATGCTCAGTTTCATTCTAATGTCCCTGGGTATACTCTTAATTCCCTGTCACTGAATTATTTTTTTTTTTAGGAACAGAAATCAAATTGATATATCTGTATATGTCTGAGTGGATCAAAGCTTCAAGTTTTTACCATGTATCTCTTGAATTTCAGTTAATTCCAGACCAATTACTTTTTCTACTATTGGAATCCTTGTATCTAGTGATCATTTTTATGTGGAGTTATCTAGGCTAAATTTTACAGGAATAAAAAAATTGTTGTCCTGAACTTGCAAACCTTTTGCACTTTTGACTTTTCTTGTCTTTGAACTAATGAAACCCCCCTACATTTTAAGATGCAGTGATGCTGAATTATGGTGAAAGTTGATTATTTTTGCAAGATGTGCAGATGGTTAGCAATGAAATTCATATTTAGATATAGAAATTTAAAGATCAGGGTCTCTCCTCTCAGACCACATGGCACTGAAATCTAAGGAACCAGAAGAATTCTACACCTAGGAGTTATATTCATTTCACCTAGCTATAAGTCGCTAAAGGATATCAATCTTGGTTTGCAGTCAAGACCTCCACTGCCAACAATGGAGAAAGACAAATCCCTTCATGTAGGTGATGATTAAAGACAGAAGAGGTGAATCATACCCCACATGGCAGAAGCCTGTTATGGTCATATTGAAGAAGAAAACCCTAATAAGCATAGTCCTTCAATGGACTCTTAGCAACACACATCAATGAGAACCATCAACTTTATTTCCCATTTGATAACTTTTAATCTCTTTTCCTCATGGTCAGATACTACTGACTTTGTGGGTGTGTTAGTTCTGTATGGGTTCTGCTCCTGGGGTAAGTCATGCATGCCTGCATGCCTAGCTCCCAGTGTATTTGGAGCAGAGTGAGTTGTTATTCAATGACTCCTGTAAGCTGTAGCCTTTCTATTACAGGATATTGCTATCCTCTTTTTTTTTGCTTCATTATAAGATGCTTTGTCACTGTTGTCATAGAGTTAGTCTTTGAAATAGATTTCACAGAGTCCTTAAATGTCAAGATGAGGCTTCAAATTATTTTCACAGGGAGACAAATGAAATTTTAAATATTAATATTTTAAGTTTTTTCTGAGTTGCCAGTGCATTAGAAGGTTAGTGAGTTTTTGTCAGGGTTAGAATTGCCTCACTGGTAAATAAGTTGCACATATTTTGAAGAATACTTTTATTTAGAAAGGCTGTAGAATCTGTGATGCCCTGGGAACTTCTTCCTAGCTACACTTCCCCTGTTAGTGATGTATAATGATGACCAAAAAAAGATGTGCTTATAAAACTTCTTTTTTTCAAGTATATTGAGTTCAATTTACAGAATGATCAGGAGGGAAATTATTTGTGGATTTTTTTCCTCTGAGTTCTTTGAGAATGTTTAGGGCTGAAAAGATCCCATTGCAAGATCAGAGACAGTCAGGTTTAGCCAGGTAACAACATATGAAAAGAACTGTGAAAGTCTAATTCTGAGGTAAAATAAAGAAGTCTGTATTTTACTTTTCAGCATCAGGGCAGGTGACTCACAAGAAAACAGTGATACCTCAGGAAGGAAAATTATTACGTCAGGCAGCAGCATGTGTTTCCCAGATTAGGCTTCTTGAGCAAAATTAGATTAAGATTTTCTTTCATCTTTCTAATTAAACTGTTCTACCCTTTCATTGTCTTAGGTCATTTTTGATGAATGACTGAGAAGTGCCTTGACTGCTGCTTCCCAAGTATAAGTAAATGAGATGTTTTTCAGTGGAAGAGATTATATATTTGCTGAATTTAAAGCAGCTAAAACAGAAATAGCCACTACATATATTGAAAGTTAAACTGTACACCTGCATATGTTGGATTAGATAGTTTTGAATCTTTAATTGAAATTGTTTTTTAAAAATTGCCCTTTGTTTTCTCGAGTTCTTATGTTTAAGATTTAAGATAACCACAAACCACAAGCGACTTCATAGATTTCTGTACAAAAAGGGACAGAACAAATAAGAATTTTGTAGTCTAACATGTAACATGCAGAATCCCAGGTCAACTGTAACTAATTAGCCATATCTTGTGTTGTGTGTTGTTTCAGAACATTCCCACTCACTTAGGAAGTAATCTTTTTTCACTGAGTTAACCAGGTAGTACATAATGATGCTGTCTGGAATGTGAGCTGCCTTTTGCACAGAGGGTATTCACTCCTAATACAGAACAATAATATAAGTTTGACATGATGGGGAAGGTGTAATTTTGCAGTGCAGACATGCTAGAGCTCACTTTGTTGATCAAAACCAGAGAACTTTCCCAGAGCTGCAGTCCCTATCAGAGTTAGATTTTATACAGTTTAGAATAAATCCTGTCCACAAAGCAAGTTTAGGGAAGCATATGTGAATGTCACTTAACAATTCATTCCATGTACCCTCAAAAGACTGATTACTGACAGCACTAACAATGCTGGGCATTAAATATTTGCACGTGTTCTTGAGCAAGTGGTAACTACATCTCTCTACGTCTAATACTGTGTTCCAAGTTCATGCCCTTTGCTTGTAGTAATCTTTATTATAATGCAAATATACTTTTATCATGTTGCCTTATGTATTGCCTTCTAAACTTTACCCTAGTGTAACATACATTGCAGTTCTAGCAATATTCTTAAAAGCTTACTCTGCTCATGTGTGGAATTTATCATCGAATTTGATCAAAGAAGATATTCACTTGAATTTGAGTGACTTCGAATTCATTTAATGAATAATGAATAATTCAATAAGACAGTTTACCAACTGAATTTAGAAGGGGTCGATACAGGCCTTCAGTTATTATATGTGTAATAAACAAAGGGACAGACTCCCTTTATAGGTAGTGTCAACAATTGTGTGAAGAAATTGTGTCAACAATTTCTTCAGAGATCTATTAATAGCCTTTTCTATTTAAATTATTAAATTCCATGTCAGATGAACATTGGTTCATTTCTTCTGTTACATTTGCACATTGCTTAATTCTGAGCAATAGGCTCAGTTTTTCAAATCTTACTAATAATTGCTACTTCTGTGTAATTTTTGGATTTGCATTCCTTGGGTTGTCAATGTATGATCCATAAGTACATGGAGCATGGGAACCTCCAGACACTCTCTGTGTAAATAGGTTTTTCATAAGCAGTTGCACTCATTGATTTGGGTTTTTTTCTCGGTATGGATTTTTGGTTTTTTTCCTACATACACTATGGGTGATCCCAAATGCTGTTCTGTTTTCTGGCTCTATACAACTCACTTATTGGGCCAGTTAATGCACAGCTGCACCCAATGCTGCTTTGCTGTTTGCTAATGTGGGTCATCTGATTTCAGTGGAAAAAAGGTACATGACAGAATTTTATCTGTTAGTCTGCTTCCACAACCCACCCCAGCCACAAACTTTAAATCAATTCTTTGGGAACCTATTAGGGCATAGAGGTGAGATAGTAAACTTTTTTAAGCTTTGACTAATAAAAGAGTATAAAATGCCCTATCACACAGAGTTTTTCATGTGGAGTATCTTGGTGATTTAATTAAAAATAGTTGTAATTAATTTTATCACAATTTCATTGAATATTTTGAGAAGTTAGATATTGAAAGAAAGAAAGAAAGAATGAAGTTGAAAATGTGTAAACTTCAATTATGAAATGATTGAAATTAAATAACCCAATGATTCCAAATATTTGTTGTGTTTTCCAGTAAAAGGGCTTGCTATTTGTAGTTCACAGGAAAGTGAACCTTTGAGTTGGGTGTAATTTATAAAATATATGATTCAAATTAGCCTAAAAATTGAGTTGGAAAAACTGAGCTAATATAAGAGTATATAAAAAAAATTAGTAAATCAATCTTAAATATTTTTATACCGACTTCATTACTTGGAAAGAAATCTTGTGTTTCTGGCTCTGCTGTCTCCAGGGATGCAAAATTGCTTCATGCTGTATTTTTTCCCCTTCTCTAAAGAAAAGAAGGAATTTTGACTTTGAACTTAAAAGCTCTATTTTTGTTTTGAACAGTCTATTTGAGAACTGTATCAGTCCCCTTGAAGTCTGTATGTGTCTATTTTGTCTGTACGTGTCTATTTTGCTTTTATATGTGGTACAATACCATTAATACAATAAAAAAATGAAGTTTTATATCCACCAATGATTTTTGACAACTTCTTTTACCTACTTTAATTAAATATAACTTTAATTAAGTTGTTCTGCATTGCTATTTCTTTCTCAAGAGACTTTGAGTACATAAATTTTTTTACTCTTGTACATGAATAAATTACTTGTAGTTGGTAGCCTGTTCAGTAAAAATATGAAATATAAGTTATAAGTTAAGAAAGCAAGAGTGGACCTGTCATTCTGAGAGATTAATCTAGGATTTCTTGGAGATTAATTTTAGGAAATAATTCTGGATTTCTTTATTCTTTCTTTTTTTCTTTCTTTTTCCTCTCTCTCTGTTCAGATGGAAGATGTCATAGCCCGCATGCAAGATGAGAAAAATGGGATTCCTATTCGCACAGTGAAAAGTTTTCTTTCCAAGATCCCCAGTGTCTTTTCTGGTAAGAGTCAAAGTGAATTTCTTACTATTTTAAAGTTTTAACTCTACCTTATATAAGGGAATGCTCAAAGGAAAAACACTTCTAAATGTGCTGTGGGGAATTCACAGTCATCTGGTCTGGAGGAGACATCCCAGATCCTTTGAATAATTATAGAAATTTTTGATGTTTCTCTCAGATTGAAGTGGTCTTACACAAAGATATTTTTGTCCTGTAAATTAAGTGAAAGGAATATTTAATTCACTACAAAAAGGCAATATTTCTTATTGCAGATCTGAATCTGTTTTTTAGTCAGTTTTCATAGAAAGTATGAGTTTAGTGTATCGGCCAGTACATGAAGGTAAGAAATGCCATAGTAGCAGCACAAAAGAAAAATCATCACTGCTTTCTGCAACTGATACTGAATAGGGGGTGTGATACTTATTACAGCAGTCATGATTTGCTTTTACAGCTGGTTGCCTGTCCCTGACAAACTAAGACTGAGATGTCTATGGTGATTTGCAAGACAGCTGTAACCTTTATAACTAATCCAAGTCAGTATTGTCATAGGCCCAAAAATCTGTCCATTTATTAATTAATTAGTGCATATTTATTCAGGTATTTACATAATTTTACATCAATTTATGCATTATATATGTGGATATATACTCCAATGAGTATATGTGTGTGTGTGTATATATAGATGTATCCATATATGTCCTTTGAAATAGATTACATCGTTTAACCTAATTTTTCCATATTCTAGTAAAAGTTGCAATTTTTGTAATGCAAAAGGTAATACTTATATAGGAAGTATTTACAGAGGTTTGTACTGTCCAGCACAGCAAGAAGAATTCTCTACTTTAATATTCAACTTTTGGAATGATTTTGCTAGTGAGTAATTCTGTCACAAAAAAGGATAGAGTCTTAAGAGTGAACAAAATACCTTCATGATTTTAGAAATTACTTGTACTAAAACTAGCCTTTGAAGAATGGACTTTTATTTCCCATGAGTTAGTTCAGCATGGCATTATGTTAAATAATCCACATTAATTTTTAATCTCTGCCTTACATTGTGGGCTATGGATTTCAAAATAGACAGACCAAAGTATCTTTTCTTTTTTTTTACTGGTATAGACATCATACTTTTAAAGATTATGTTAGAATATATATACAGTAGTACATAGCAGTCACCAATGGAACACCTTTTCTATTTATGCACTAACTTTATTAATTGCAGAGGGAAAGAAAAATCATAGGAGAGTTCATTTCTTTCCCTTTGCAGATTTTCTACCTCAAATACCAGGGCTGTAATTTTTGCTAGACGTGACTAGAAGCCCCATCAGGACAGTACAAATTTCATTTTAGTTAAATTGATATGCTTTCCTGTCAGTTCTCTACACTGAATGGAATCTGAAATATTCAAACTTTTGCGTGAGTAGCAGATTTCATTTAGTGTCTGAGGAGTTTGTGTTTATGTAGCAAACAAAACTTTTTGGCTTGAACTCAAAACTGTTGATTGCTAGGAAACACGGGAATATTGTTGTCTAAGGATTGTGATGATATTAGTGCAAATATATATGATAAAAGTTTGTACTGTTAATACCCACAAAAGCATCCATACGAAAATGACCAAAATGAGCATCAAAAGCAGATGCTCTCCAGTTAAAATATATATATATGTATTTATGTGCTCATATATATATATATGTGTGTGTGTATGTCTATGCATAAAAGCATGTCTTATAGGCAGCCATCTGTTCAGGATTATGTTCCATAAAAACCAGAGCTTTGCAACTGTTTGGGATTTTTTTGGTGGGGAGAAGCAAAATGGGTAGCTCTACCACAGTGAAATCATGTTCCTGCAAACACTTAGAAAAGATCTGTAAGAGTCCTTTGAACAATTTGTAAAAACTAAGGTTGTCCATTAATTGTCTGTAGGAATAGGGTCTTATGGAATAGCATTTTGATTATGTTGCTATAGATTTATTTTTTGTGTGCTTTTATTTCACAATAGTTCTTCTTAAAACAGCAAGTGAGAACCTAGTTGAAAAAGCAGTCACTTTTTTAATGCAAAATTACTGACCATATCTATTTAAGGATGACTGCATTAGCAAAATCAGCCTGGGGAATGGTATTCGAATTTAGCAGAATGTTGTGATTATAATAAACAAAATGATGTGATTATACTATCTAATTTACTGAGTCATTCCTTAAATGTTTTCACAAGTAAAATATCCACACAGAGAAACATTTGCAATACAGATAATCCTCTATATGCTATGCACATTGTTGAGCTTCAGAAAAGTATCATTTTAAGTTAAAGATTATTTCACTTTGTGAAATTTTGAAAATATGAGGAATCATTTTGCTTTATATTCCATATATTCATAGAGAGCAAATAAAAATTTGAAACTTTTAAGGCTCCAAGGAAAAATGGAGGCAGGAGAGTTTGCTCCTTTTATGTGAATATGCATTTAGAAGTACAAAGAAGGGTTACTGTTGTTGTCTCCATTCATTTAAAATGCTTTGGAGGAGTGAAGAAGATATTTTATATAGACATCTTGCTGGTCAGCAATAATAATTGCATGAAGATTGACATGATGATTCCTTATTAGCACTGATTAGAGTATTAGCAATAAAGAGAAGGCAATTTGCCTGGCCCGTGGTTCACCATTAGACCTGAAAATGGATAAAAAAAAGACTTACTTGAAATGATGAATGTAGGGAGTATGTAATATGAATCACAGAGAATAGAATGAGCTCTAAAATATCATTTTTATTTTTACTAAGGAGAGATAGGAAGCAAATGCCAAAGTTTTGCTGTTCACTTTGAAGGAGAAAGAAGCATTCAGAGTTTACCAACAAAGCACTGCAATAGCTGAGCTTTTGTTTTGGCAGTCTTTGTGGGGGGCGGTGGGTTAGTCAGTATTAGTACTGAAAGTTTCATAAGCTAATCATAACGTGAATATTTCATTAAAATGATATAGTGATACAGTGGTGTCTTATGGTCATTATGGAATATCAGTGTGATGCTTTATTAAAGTATGTAATACTTGGATATGCTTGATACTGAATAAAATCTGTGGAGAATGTGTCAGTTGAGTGGTGTGTAAGTTTGAGTGCGTAACACTAGCACTTTTATTGAAGGAGCAGGGAGAACTGTGAGAAAGTTCAATTTAAGAATGCAAACAGAGACATGAGCATTCGAGAAAAACATGTTCTTACTAGTTATTACTGGCTGTTTCTGATGCATGGCTCAATAATTTTGGAAAGTAGTCACAGCTTGAACCAACAAAAATAGGAGAAGGAGATCAGTAGAAAGGTTTTTTTTCGTGTCTCCTTCTGAGTTAGAGAGAGAAAAATGAAAACGTTAATTTACCTTTCCCTGGAAAATATAATCCCTTAAAGTCTTTAGTTTTTTCTCATTCCTGTATGTGAAGCTGATATTGTGTCTTTTTCATAAAGACATTATGTTTTCCCATTTTTTAGAAAGATTATTGTCATCATATCTAATTTTTATTAAATGTTTTTTCCAATCTCAGAAAATGCTTATTTCTCTTTTACCTGGGAAATCATGAAAATATTGGAATATTCCACTTTGATTAGCAAATGAATTAATATGGTCATTATTTACCAGTTTTTGTTTGTAGTCTGCTTGCTTAAGCACATAAATAAATAATTTATGTGCTTAAACATAAAAAAATGCTGCAAAAAGCAGAACAGCAGTCTCAGTAGCCTGGTCAGATATAGTGAGAGACTCCAGAGGAAAGCAGTGTCATAGTAGCTCATCTCACTCACAGTTCACAGGTGGGTGAGCCCAAGGGATGAGTCACAGGGGCTACCTGCATTAGTATTGCTTGTTATATAGAAGGAGGCAGCAAAAAATGAAGATCAATACAGTGGGAATTGGATGACTCAGGGGACTAATAACAAGAAAGGGAGTTTTATATGTCATTAGTTTTGATCTTCCCCATATGAGTAATGAGTTGATAGCATCTGATGACTTCTCAGTGCTGCATGTGAAATCAGTTGATAAGTTTATCCACTTCAGTACTGGAGATCACCTATCTGAAATGAGATATGAAAGAGAAAGCTCTACTACTTAGTTTGAGAGAAAAGTGTACAGCTACACAAAAAATGTAACACTTCAATCATACCTTTTGAGCAAAGTAACATTGCATTAGAGGTAAATAAAAGGAGTTCTAAATTTCCATTTTTCCAGAATAAATTAACCATGTGGGAGAAACTAGGATTCCCATCTCCCAAGTCTCAAATTTTATGGGCCTTGTTTTTTCCTTCAGTGTCTCCCTTGTTGGGTCAATGACAGTTTCCTACTTTCTTGTTCTATCTATTCCTTCATCTCTCTTTTCTTGCATTGTCCTAAAGTATAATTTAATAGTAGAATTATTACTGATTTCTTTATGCCAAATCAGCCTCTTATTATTTGTAAACAGAGCCTTCAGTGTTAAAACTGCAAGCCTTTATGAGGTTCCAGTCTTAGTAAAACACTTTGATGAAAATCTTGCTGTCAGTTCATGAAAGACACAAGCTGGATAATTCATTCTCCTGTGCCCCTTCAGATGGGCAGATGTGAGCAGGGACTTACTATCTTCACAGTTTCACTTTTCAAATCAGAATTTTGAAAACAAAAAGTTAATAATCCTCTATTCCCAGATGAGTAGTTGGTTTGAAGTTATACGAGTCTCTCTTGTGTGTCATTTCCATTCATCACTTTGTCAGAGTGAATGATCTGCATTCAAATGCTCGTGGTCTTGTGGGAGTGGATATTTTCAAGAAGACTGGTTCTCTTATTTGTTGATATCATGTTCATGATTTTTCGAGTCATCAGTAGAAGATATTGACTGAATGGACATACAGTCATTTCCAAGTAGTGAGATAATTAACTGATTAATGAGTGATGCTTTATGTTCTTTACAGAAAGTCAAAGTGGATATTTGAGTGCTGTCTACATACCTTCACCTCTTGTTTCTGTTTGTTTTCCTGTCTTGGCTTCCTGACTT